AGAGTACAAAAATGATAAGACATGGTCTCTGACTTTAAAGACTTCCAGCAAATAAACAGTTATATTACACCAGTGTGATGATAGAGATATGTGTACATTGCATACAGGAGCTTCCTGCCCAGCTGGGAGGAGGCCATGCTTGAGCTGAACCTTAGAAGGAAAGGACGAAGAGGAGTTTCCCAGACAGAGATGGAATAGGGGACAGGAAGGCCATCCCAGGCTGAACTGGAACCTTTTGATAAACCTGGAGATAAGGGGTACATGTAGGAAAGGACCAGAAATGAGGCTAGACCAGAGCATGAGAAACCTTGTAGATTATTATAAGGGTGTAGATTTTATCTACAAGGCAATGGGTTACCACTGGAGAATTTGAATTAGCCAGTGTCATGATTAGCTCTCTATTCCCCAAGCTCACCTGTCTGCAATGTGAATAGGAATAGGTAAGGATTGGAACCTAGTTGAGAGATATTATAGTAATGCAGAGTGGATGATGCCTGAACAAGGGCAGTGGGTGGGGCTGGAGTGGAAGGAACTGACCAGAAAGTTTACTTGATGTCTTACTTAGTTCACTTTTTCCTGCTACAGCAGAATACCTCAGATTGAGTGATGTATAAATAACAGAAGTTTATTTGACTCACAGTTCTGGAGGATGGGAAGTTCAAAGCATGGAGCCACCAACTGGTGAGGGTCATCCCAGGGTGGAAGGCATCACACAGCAAGCGAGCGTGTGAGACAGAGTGAGAAAATTGGCTGGGACTCATTCTTTTTATCAAGAACTCACTCCCACAATAACTAACCCCTCCTATGATGATGGCATTAATCCATTCATTAGGATAGAGCCCTCATGACCTAATCACCTCTTAAAGGTTCCACCACTTAATACCATCTCAATGACAATTCAATTTCAACATGAGTTTTGGAAGGAACATTTGAACTATAGCACTTGGGAAGGAAAAACCCAGAGAAGTTGTTGTATAACAGGCTGTGAGAATGAGTGAAAATTAGTACTATCTCTGTAAAAGGAGATTTTTCATGATTAAAATGAAAAAAGGGAAGAGTCTATGATCTAGATATTTCATGTATGGCTACCTAACTTAAAGAAGACTATTTACTTAGCATTGTTTATTAAAAAAGAAAAAAATCAAACCAACATGTTCATCAATAAGGAACAATATAGGCCAGGCATGGTGGCTCACACCTGTAATCCCAACACTTTGAGAAACTGAAGTAGAAGGATTGCCTGAGTCCAGGGGCTTGAAGCCAGTCTGGGAAACTTGGCAAGACCTTGTCTTGACAATAAGTCAAAAAATTAGCTGGGCATGGTGGCATGTGCCTGAGGTTCCAGCTACTTGGAAGGCTGAGGTGGAAGGATTGCCTGAGCTCAGCCAGCACGTCAAGACTGCGGTGGCTATGAGTATGCCACTGAACTCCAGCCTGGGCAACAGAGTGAGACTCCAACTCAAAATAATAATAAAAATAAATAAGAAACTGTATAAAGAAAATGACATTGAAAGAATGAGAAGCACCTCTATATAACAAAATGGTTCAGTCTTGAGCACATTATGTGGCTGAGTGAAGAAAAAAAGCCCATTGTAGAAGAATACATACAATAAGTGTTGATGCACTGCCTCATTTTGGCACTTGGGGAGCCCCTCTGCAGACAGTTATCTTTCCGCCTCTTCGCCCAAAGCAGACTTGTTAGCCATCTAGTCTCACTCATCCACACAGTGCTTCCACTTAGTCCTTTCATTTCTTTAATAAACTAATATTCAGTAGAAACAAAATAACATTTATAGAATGTATGTAAATCATGCATATACAATCTTTGTTGTTCTTATACAATCAACACTCCAGTGTTCTGCACTAACTCTAAGAACAGAAAAACACTGTCATTATTATTATTATTATTATTTTTTGAGTTGGAGTCTCACTTCGTTGCCCAGACTGGAGTGCAGTGGCCGCTCCCAGCCACCGCAACCTCAACCTGCTGGGCTCCGGCGATCCTTCCACCTCAGCCTTCCAAGTAGCTGGAACTACAGGCGTGTGCTACCACGTCATTATTTTTTGTTTTTTTTGTTTTTGTTTTTGTTTTTTTTGAGTTGGAGTCTCACTCTGTCACCCAGACTGGAGTGCAGTGGCTGCTCCCGGTCACTGCAGCCTCAACCTGTTGGGTTCCTGTGATCCTTCCGCCTCAGCCTTCCAAGTAGCTGGAACTACAGGTGCGTGCTACCACGCCCGGCTAATTTTTGATTTATTGTAGAGATGAGGTCTTGCCAAGTTGCCCAGGCGGGTCTCGAACCGGTGGGCTCAGGCAATCCACTCACCTCAGCCTCCCAAAGTGCTGGGATTACAGGCTGAGCCACCAAGCCCGGCTCCACGTCATTATTTTTAATGTCCTGTGTGCCTTTCTCAAATCTATCTTATGCTTCTCCATTTTCCTGACTTTTGCCTATAGGTCGACACGTGTTTTCATGTTATTTAGTTTTGTGTGTTTTGAACTGTATATATGGAATCATATGAAATGTACAAGACAAAGACAAAATGATATCTAAGTGGAAATACTTTTTATTTGCAGATTATATTACATGAAATCATTTGAAAATTAGTAAGAATGGTATGGCAGTCTAACAAGATGATTAATATGAAGATTAACACAAAATTTTAGTTGCTTATATCAATTATAAAATGGAGCTGGGCTCGGTGGCTCAGCCTGTAATCCCGTGCCTTTGGGAGGCTGAGGTGAGTGGATTGCCTGAGCCCACGGGTTCGAGACCCGTCTGGGCAGCGAGACCTCATCTCTACAATAAATCAAAAAATCAGCCGGGCGTGGTAGCGCACGCCTGTAATTCCAGCTGCTTGGAAGGCTGAGGTGGAAAGATCGCCGGAGCACAGCAGGTTGAGGCTGCAGTGGCCGGGAGCAGCCACTGCACTCCAGTCTGGGCGACAGAGTGAGACTCCTACTCAAAAAAAAAAAATTATAAAATGGTACTAAGTGTGGTGGCAGCACTGGGGAGGCAGAGTCAGGAGGATTGCTTAAGACCAGGAGTTCAAGACTAGCCTGGGCAACATAGCAAGACTGTCTCTAAAAAAAATAAATTTTAAAAAAACTAGGCATGGTGGTGCATGCTTGTAATCTCAGGTACTTAGGAGGCTAAGGCAGGAGGATCACTTGAGCCTGGGTATTGGAGGCTGTAGTGAGCTATGATTGCACCACTGCACTACAGCCTGGGCAACAGAGCAAGACTCTATCTTTAAAAAAATTACAAAATGAAACAGAAGATCCATTTATAGTAGCAACAAAAGATAATTTATTAACAAATAATCAAAAATGGAACTCGGCCGGGCATGGTGGCTCAGCCTGTAATCCCAGCACTTTGGGAGGCTGAGGTGAGTGGGTTGCCTGAATCTGCGGGTTCGAGACCAGCCTGGGCAACTTGGTGAGACCTTGTCTCTATAAGAAATAAAAAATTAGCTGGGTGTGGTAGCGCACGTCTATAATTCCGGCTACTTGGAAGGCTGAGGCGGAAGGATCGCTGGAGCTCAGCAGGTTGACACTGGGGTGGCTGTAGTCATGCCACTGCACTCCAGTCAGGGCAATGGAGTGAACTCCAACTCAAAAAAAAAAAAAAAAAAAAAAAAGGAACTCTGTAGGATCTATATGAGACCAAATTTGAGGCATTCCCTGTACTTGTCTGTTATGACCATTATTGCATTCTAACTAAATGCTTATTTCATGGGAGAAAATATTTTCATACTTAGTGAGATGGCAAATTCACACTAAGTTATTGGCTTTATGGGTTCTCTTTCTCATCAGTACTTTACTCTGTGCTTCTAAAAAGGTAGGTGCATCTGATGGGGTTTCATAGGCAAGACACATTACCTGTGTAAAAATTACCTTATTCATTAAAATGCTTATTGCAAACACCGCCCCAAGGGATTCTGAATCAGTATCTCCAGGTGGAACTTACTCACCTTCATTTTAACTTGGGAAAACAACTGCAGCAGCCCAAAGGAAGCCATCTCAGATGGTGGCATCTCAGTTTTCTCTGGAGATCAGCAGAAGAGAGATTCTCAGGAGTGACCATTTTTCTGGCACTTCTCAAATTATGTCAGCCAAACTGGGCACTCCATGTTTATGTGTGGCTTCTAAGACTACTCCTACCTAGGGGAGTACATTTTCCCCTAGTGTTTATATAAGGTTATACATGAGAAATCAAGAGATACACCCTAAAAGTGTGTTCTCCATGCTTTCTTAGGAGTCTCCTTTATGTTCTGTGAACTTGGGAGGCGCTGTGGTCAGAATGTTTACATTAAATTCTAACCCCCAAGATTATAGTAGTAGGTGGAACCTTCTGGGAAGTGATTAGGTCATGGGGCAGAGTTGCCATGAATGGGATTAGTACCCTTATAAAGGTGACTCTAGAAAGCTGTCTTGCTCCTTCCACCACATGAGAACACAGCAAGAAGATGCCATCTACAAGAAAGTGGGCACTCACTAGACACTGGTTCTGCTGACACCCTGGTTTTGGACTTCCCAGTGTCCAAAACTGTGAAAAATACATTTCTATTATTTATAAGCTACAAATGTATGGTATTTTGTAATAGCAGCCTGAACAGACTGAGGCAGGAGGGAAGTAAAGAAGGTAGCAATGGAGTCAAGAACAAGTGTGAGGAGAAGCAAGGGGGCTCTCTGCATAACCTCTGAGGATGGCGGATGCCCGGGCACCATGCTGGAGAACACTTGTTTCTTTGTCAACGGTTAGCTGGTTATCAATGAGGCAGAGCAGAAGACCAGAACGGAAACCATGACACCCACCCCACCATGCCCTTGGACTTCCTCCAGAACCATTTCCCTACCATATGTAGATGCAGTGGGCTGGTAGAGCACATAAGTAGGCTCAGAAGGCTCCCCCGGCGCTCTGGAGCCTGAGGTGGCCCTGAGCAAACGGCCATTCCTGAGCCTTTTGCTTCTGCCCTTGGGCAGACCTGCCTTCAGTTCTATGGGAGGCTTTGAGGGTCATCTGTATCCTGGGCTGTCTCTCTTCTTCTATGGACTTTATCACGCACAACTTGTCTCCAGGGCCTTGATCTGCAACGCTCCTGTCCAGTATCTACCACGCCACCCCTGGAACAAAGGAAGATGGGCAAGGCTACGGCAGATACACCACGTCGGGTTGCTGAAGATACTGAGCGCCTGCATTTTAGTCGCCCAAGAGTTCCATAGTGTTCCCAGACAACTGGTGCTTATCAGCAAGATGTACCACCAGAGGAACTTCATGTACCGCAAACAGTGGCAGCATCTCACTATCTATGCGACCTACTTCCTAAGTGGATGTGTAGACGTGGTCAGTCAGAACCTGCTGCCCCAGAGGTGTGCTGCCCTGGAGCAAGCTGCCCAAGCCCTGGGTATGTTTGTCTTGCTTCCCCTGATGGTATCGCACATGCAGGACACGGAAGGCGTGGAGCTGCTGTCCCATGTGCTGCTCACCCAGGCCATGTTCCTGCTGGCGCTGGTGGTGACCGCAGAGCTGTGGGCTCCTGATGAGCCGCTGATCTGGACGATGAAGGCCTTTTTGTACATGGTCTCAGGCTCTTGGCTGATGCAGATAGGCTTCATGCTGTACAGACCCATCTCTGGCTACAAGTGGATGGATGATGATCAAAATGACGTTGTGTTTGTCGCCACCTTCTTCTGCTGGCATGTGGTCTTCAGTGCCATTCTGATGATCTGGATCTATGGCTTCTCCTTTTTGTGGTACTGCTACATTTTTGTGAATGCCTGAACCTGGATATGTCCCAGTTGGCTCCCGGTTGCCTGCAACTCCATGACTTGGCGGTGAGGGAGGCCTTGTGGGAGGCAGAACTGCCGGGGGGAGGATCCAGCATACCTCCTTCAAAGACAGCCCACCCTGAGGCACCCGACTCTGAGCCGGGACAGGCACACCCTGTCTCCCCTTGTGGCTTCTCTTGTCTCATTTTTTGAGCCTTGTGCGGAAGGAAGGAGAATGATATGAGAGAGGCATTCAACTTTGACCTTCATGCTCAGCTCCCCACTTGTTCCCCTCCCTCCCCTCCCTCTCCTCAATGCCAGCCAAGCTAATCTGCTTGCCCTGCCCTTCCTGCATCCCTCAGTCCTCTCCTCTCCTATCAGAATGTTAAATATACTACATCCTTGCCTCTTCCTAAATATCCCTTGCCCATAGACTATCGACTGCTAATACATGATAATTGACCCATCATGGTAACTATCTCCTCATCCTTCCTTGTTCTGGACCACTTAAATGCTCATGTTGAAGAGACTGTCATTTTGATGATAAAGAACTCACAGAACTGTTCTTGAGTTTTTTCCTCTGTAATTTATTAAACAAAGTCGGACCCTTAAAGGCGACTTCCTCCACGGGGTTTAATTTCACAGAGCCACATCCTGCACATGGTGAGGGCTCAGAGGGCTCGTCTGCTTCCTGAGTTTCTCCAATCCTTGCCTCTTAAGTATTGAATCTGTCAAATTTCTCTTCTGGGCATTTCAGCCCATTGCTCTGTCCACCTCTGAACTGATTTCCGAGTAATAAACTCACCTGGACCCCCTCCCTTCTGTTTCTCACGGATAATAAAATGCAGTGGTTTGTTTATTCTGCATACTTTTCTTTTTAATCCTCCCAACTATCCTATCAGGGAGGTTTATAAGTGAGTCATGTTAGACCCCAAAGCGTTAAGAAAGTGACTTAAGGTAGTTAGATATTTGGCTACATCACATAAGGCCATAGCTCGGTGTCAAGACGGGTGACCTCCAAGTAGGGCTAAATTACTGGGGACTTGCAAAGAGTGTCTTCATGTCCCCGCTTCTGTTCTCCCACTTTCCACAGGATATGAAGCATCTGTCAAGCCTCCCTCACTCCTGGTGAAGACAAAAACGTTAAGTTAGCACAGAGTGGGGCAGGGACAGGGATTCTGCAGGGCCGTCATCCTTCTCGTTTCCTTTTTTCTCTGGTTCTTTGGAGGATTGGATGTGTCCTTGGGTTCTGGCCCTACTCTTCCTTGTTAATTTTCTTGTTCAAACATTAAGGTGCAGCAGGGGTGGGCTGTTGTCTGGTTGTCAAGGACCTTTGCCCTCAGGTTTTGGAGTCTGGTGTGAACATTCTGAGTTATTGTGGGGAGTGGTGCTTCCAAGGGTCATTTAGAGGAGGCTCCAGGTCTCAGAATGTGGGGTGGCAGGCATGTGCTGGGTGTTCAACGTGTGACCAGCAGACAGCTTCCACAAAAGGCTGACACCCTGTATCAGCGGGATGATCAGGCTACAACGCCGCTATCCACGGAAGATGCTCTGGGGTTCCTTGCATGGAGATAAAATAACCCGAGGGGTAACTCAGTTTCCAGGGACCAGGAGCTCTGCGGTGGCTTCTGAAGGTTCCGCCCCTTCCTGGTTGTCTCCTCTGGGTCGCATCCCTTCATTTCTCCCCACAGCAATGGGTATCTTTTTAGGCCTTTCCCACCCTGGTGGCTCCTCCTTCCCTGAGTGCCCCTAGGGCTGGGGTGGAAGGAATCTGCTTCTGAGATACTCTTTTCGTCAGTATGGCAAAGTCCTGCTTTTCACTTCATTGAGGCCTCCCCTTTTTGACATTAAGAACACATTTTTATTTTGTTTTGTTTTGAGTCAGTGTCTCACTCTGTCACCCAGGCTGGAGTGCAGTGGCAGGATCACAGCTACCACAGCCTCGACCTCCTGGGATCAGGTGATCTCACCTCAGCCTCTGGAGTAGCTGGGACTACAGGCGCACACTACCACACCCAGCTAATTTTTTAATTTTTATTTTTGTAGAGACAATGTCTTGCTATGTAGCACAGGCTGGCCTAGAGCTAAGTTCAAGCAATCCTCTCACCATCGCCTTCCAAAGTGCTGTGATTACAGGTGTGAGCCACTGTGCCTGGCCCATATTTTGGATTTTTTTAGACCTAAGTATCGATGGGTTTTTTTGCTATTATAATCTCACCTAATCTTTATGCTATTATAATCTCACCTAATCTTTGACTAAGTACGAAGTCATATGGAACGTTGAAAAGCAAAGCCCGAAATTAGTATTTCAAGCTACCATCTCTCCACAAAGTTGAAGAGATACTAAAACCACTTGTTAACTTTTAGATCTGTTTCGTTTTGAGTACCTTTGGAGCCTTGTTAAGTACTAATAACTCATCTCTTGTAGTAAATCATTGCCTCCAGATAGGATTCTGTTTCTCAGCATGTATTTTTTAGGCAAAATAATAAATATTAGTAGGGACTTAGAACATCACAATGAATTATAGTTAAGGCTTGATACAATGGTGGAATATATATATATATGGCATGCTGGAGGGATGGAGAAGAGAACTGGGAAAAATACGTAAGCAAGATTGTCCAAGCATCCAGTAAACATCATGGAGATCTGTTTCCTGTTAAACCTGAGATGCATGGATGTGAATAAGCACCGAATTCAATTAATACAGCAATGTATATGTATCTCAAAAAGCCTTTGGGTCACTCAGTATCTGACCATCCTTCCTATTTGGAGTGAAACATTACTATGTGAGTCTCAGAGGGACTGTCTCCCGCTATGTGTTCAGACAGTCCCTCTCCTGGCCACAGCGGTAAGAGCATGGATACCTGTTCTAAACTCAGCAGTCAGACCCTCCATCCAGACCCTTATCTTGAAGGAGTAAACCTCAAGGACAATGAGAGATTACGCATGGTAGTGCCCATGACCTCAAATGATTAATAGTGGTGGTGCTGGCAGTCGTGGCACCAAAAATGCTGAAAAAAATATATTGTAGTTGAAAACTGGTTTCAATCTCTATGGGAGTTGGTGAGAATTGACAAAGATAAAGTAAGAGTAGGGATCATAGTAGGCAGCTATGTCAGTGTGGATGTCAGAATGAGCTATCCCACAGATTCTTTGTGGTGGTTATTGATCATGAAGTTCCTTAAAAATGTGCGGGCAGTCGAATAAGATTCTACTAGAGAGTGTATGCTCCAGGATGGCAGGGCTTTCTTTGGACTTTTTAATTCAATATGCATCCCAAACATCTAGAACAATTTGTGTCACGTAGAAGTGCTCGATAAATGTTTGTTGAGTTTTCAAGTACAGTGGCACACACCTGTAATCCCAGCACTTTGGGTGGCTGAGGTGGGAGGATTGCTTGAGCCCAGGAGTTCAAGACCAACCTGGGCAACATAGCAATATCTTGTCTTTACAAAAGTTTTTTTAAAAAATTAGCTTCGTGGTGCATGCCTGTAGTCCTAGCTACTCGGGAGGCTGAGGCAGAAGGAGTGCCTGAGCCAAGGAGGTAAGCCTCGATTGTGCCACTGCACTCCATCCAGCCTGGGTGACAGAGGGAGACCTCAACAAAATAAAAAGAATATTTGTTGAATGAATGACAATAGAAGCCTAAAATGAGCCATCAGGATAGGGAAGCAGGCCCCTCATCCAATTTTCAGCTGTTAGATAAAAATAAAGCATTTTACCCTCTAGGAAGCATATTTGATATTTTGGCAAGTATTTACTGTGAATATTCTTTCTGATTTTTGCCAAAGAGATCTGCTGGCATTTCCAGAGTAATTGTGCACTGGGTTAAGAAAGTTTTAGGAAATCATTACATGCTGGGTCTGATCTAACCCAGTCACTATCAGAGCTGAACTCAGCTCTATTGAATTTAAAAGCCAACATTTTCTATATTTGCCTTATGGTAATAATTTCCTGGGTTACTTGTAAAATACACAGCTTCCTGTGCCCCACCTTAGCCCTTCTAAATCAGAATTGCCATGGTAGGGCCCTGCTAGTTTACATTTTTAACAAGAACCTCGGGTGATTTTTCTTATCACACATTTTGGGAGCCATCTGGTACCCTTTCATTTTGGGAACTGGAAGGGTCAGGGACCCAGCCTTAGGTGCTTCAAGCCTCTAGCCAGTGATGTTGGCTTTTTGTTCTCACTGTTCTTAGAGTGAACCTCATTTGATTGTTACTGGTTCCAGTAGTCAGCCTCGTCAAGCTGCGGGGAAGATAGTGAAGTGACAAACAGGACTAGAGAGAAGCTGTGCACAGCTTGATTGAAGACAGTCAGAAAGCCTTCTGTCTGAGGGAACTTGAGTACCTATCACTACTGTATATGCCATTATTTCAGGAAGAGCCCACAACTCTATTTCTTTTGCTGAAGTTACTAATCCTTTTCTCTTTTGTTCCTTCCTTCTTCCTGCCTCCCTCTCTCTCTCTCTCTTTCTCATTCTGTCACCCAGGCTGGAGTGCAGTGGCATGATCACAACTCTCTTCAGCCTCAACCTCTTGGGCTCAGGTGATCCTTCCACTTCGGCCTCCCCAGTAGCTGAGACTACAGGCATGTACTACCATGCTATGTTGTCCAGTCCTGGTCTTAAACTCCTGGGCTCAAGCAATCCCCCACCTTGGCCTCCCAAAGTGTTAAGATTACAGGCATGAGCCACCATGCTTGGGCTCTACTAGCCCTTTTCTAAAAGAGGTGATAATCCAAGGAATAATATGATGTTATAGAACCAGCCAGAGCTTCACCCCTAACTCTCTTAAGACGTGTGTATTATGCTGACTAATGAATGAGGTAATTGATAATAGATTGAAAAAAATGGTAGACTGCCAACTCATCTTGGGGCACATAAAACCCCAAAAGGTAAAGAAGAAAACTCTTCTCACTAAAATTACTTTAAAAAACAGTATTTGGTGTTTACACATACTGAATAAAGTATAACACATTTTCAAATTTAAGTGATATTTTATTGGCAATTCATTATTAACAATAATCCTGCTGGGCTCGGTGGCTCAGCCTGTAATCCCGCGCCTTGGGAGGCTGAGGTGAGTGGATTGCCTGAGCCCATGGGTTCAAGACCCGCCTGGGTAAATGGTGAGACCTCATCTCTACAATAAATCAAAAAATTAGCCAGGTGTGGGAGTGCGCACCTGTAGTTCCAGCTACTTGTAAGGCTGAGGCGGAAGGATCGCCAGAGCCCAGCAGATCGAGGCTGCGGTGGCCGGGAGTGGCCACTGCACTCCAGTCTGGGCAACAGAGTGAGACTCCAACTCAAAAAAACCCAAAAAACAATAATCCTTCCAATTTCCAAAGTTTTTCCCCAAGTTTTTTCATGCATTATACAAGCTTCTCAGCAATCCCAGGACTTTTAAATTTTTTAAACATTCTCTTGGGTGTGACATTGAAGAACTCTTCTCAGTAATTCTTGGCTAAATCATCAAGGTTTATGGAGCTCTTGGTCTTTCATCTTAATATTTACTTTCTATCAGAAGTGGACAAGAGAAATGAAGAGTTGTTTAATGAGAATACCAAGTGACTGACAATTCTTCAGAGAATTCAAGCATCTTGGAGGCTAATGTTTTATTTATTTACTTATTTTGAGTTGGAGTTTCACTCTGTTGCCCAGACTGGAGTGCAGTGGCTGCTCCCGGC